GGACAAACGAAGGGAAAACCTTGAGTTCATGAGGTAGTGGAATAAGGGCTTCATCAGTTATTGGGCATATGCAGTTATTGGTATAATCTTAAAGCCCGTACCATTGCCTCGCTTTTGGTGAATAAATGCTCATGAATCTTATGTACAAGTCGAATTATTCTCGATTGAAGAAGGTGGGGGTCGTCTTGTTTGTGAGGTTAAATTAGTGAGAAAATGACCGCTAAAGTTTAGTGTCCTTGGAAACTGCAAACTTACATTTTTGTCCACATGATCAAAGTTTTTATAGTGACACCAAAACAAATGTATTATAAGTATTTTTAAGTGGACACAAACGACGTTGACTCAATACAAACAATTCGATTTTTTTCAAATTTGCAAACAGGCGAGAAATTTTCGGTTTCCTCCAATTCATTATTTAGACAAGTGCCTGATTCACCATGATGCTATACATTTCTCAAAGTAGAAAGTAATGTTTTCTGTGTAGATCCTTATTTCAGATTTTATGTTCAAAAGAATTACATGTATTCGGTTTAATGCGTATGACAAAAAATAATTTGAAATAGAGTCAACCTTACTTGTACGGAAGATTTACATTTACCTGACTGAGAAAAATTATTCTTCGTCTAGGTACATACGTAAGTCACGATTCATCCTTTCTGGGTTTGGCATATTGGTCAAGACTACTTGCTGTTACCCATACTTCTAAGAAAGGTGGTACCCATTCACTAAAATTACAAATTTTAATGTTTTTACGTATGAGTCAAACCGAAGCTAATGACTACCTGTTCAAGACAATAACATCTACAAAAAAACGATGTTCTTCTCCCTTCCACTTTTTGACATAATATTAAAATGACACTAGATAAGACGCCTACTAGTCTAAACAACCATTTTTTTCTAAATAAACAATGGTAGTTTTGGACTATTTCGCATGCATTTGCCTATAAAACGAATACGTAAGGTTGATTAATTCTATTAAGCGCATGTTTTGAGACTATGGGCATTGGGAACAGAGAAACTGATAGTTTTTTAGGATCCTTTCTTCAAAGCAAGCGTCTGTGGTCCCAAAGGACACACTGTCAGGAGACGAGTATACTGGTCAGTGGTCACTTAGGGGCAAGATCGGAGTGAGTTTGGACCCAGAAATAACTTAGAAAAATGTCGGGCTGCACTGTGAGTAGCTACATTTTGAATTATTCAACATTGGTTGCTTGTGGAGTTCCTTTTTTATTCTGTCCTGTCAAAGACGGGTATCAAGCGATTGTCAAACGTGAGATGAAAAGTACCGGGTTGGAAAAATATTAATGAGTTTGTAATAATATTGAAATAATGTAGAACACTCGTTTCGTTAAAAAAATGTTATATATGGTAAACGTCCCTGAGATCCTGGCTTCAATTAGCACAGAACAATGACACATGCCTAGTATTAGTTGTCATTACAAAACCTAATATCATTGTTGCTCTGAATATTTGACAATTTTCTCTCTTTGATAATCCTTTTGAAACCCTCCAATATCTGCATTTTAGTGCTCTAACCATTTTAGAACAACCCTTACTTCATTAACTAACTTTGAAAATTGCCGACTAATTTACAGGAGACAACCGTATCAAACTTAAGGCCTAGATCTACTACTACAATTAGGCATTAAGGTAAAGGACGCAGTTACACAGTCACAACAGCCGCTCAATATTCAACGCCAACAACATCTTGCATGTTTGGAAAGAAACAGAAAAGGAACAAGAACTTTTAGTGGGTACTGGACACGCCCCTGACCCCCCCCCCCCCTTTCCCGTAAAATCTACACACACGTACAGCAGTTAGTTCAGTTTGTATCACACTGGACTAGAATTATAGGAGCGGATCAGTTGGTACAGGTTCAAATCCCCAAAAGGGCGTTCCTAACTTAAAGCTCTCCACAGGTCATTCCCCCCCCTTCAATTTAATCCACGCATTCGCAAAATTAACGTACGTTTCTCGTCGGCGTTTTCTTCCTCTTGCATGACGTGGGGCTAAAGTACACTTTAGTTTTTAATTAAGTCTAAATAAGAGTTTTACGGCATTTGCAACACAACTAAGTGAAATAAGTAACGAGCATTAATGGTGTCTATGGCGTAACATGCAAAGAATATAAATGAGGTGATAATGTTTAACGGTGATAGATGTTTCACACAAAAGAAGGGACACTAGAGCACCCGCCAACCATCCATGTAGAGTCTATATTTTTGAAGAGTTACAAGATATATATAATTAATAATATTATCATCAAGCTAGGTAGTTCGGTACATTGGTTTTTCTGCACAGATCCTGATACTAAATTGATATTTCAGAGATGCAGACTCGATGTTGCAGGGCAGGGACAAGCCTAAAAAGAACCCCCCAAAAAACCCGCATAAATTTTTGTTTTAGTAGAGAAAAGTACATAGACACAATAACGGTCACTTGGTGCATGGATAAAGCAAAACACAGACATGAACCGCAGAGGTGAAGAAAAGTAGGACTTTCTAGTGGCACCATCTAACCACCCACATTTTGTTCTGTTATGCAAGTCCTTTCACCTGACTGGTAACATGCCTTTAATTTAAAAGGGTCAAAAACTGCCAGCATACTTTCGTCAGCCTGTGTCCTTGGCGGAGTTATGAGGGGTTGAGGAGGGGAGGGGTGTGCAGCTGTGGCACAAGGACAAGAGGGAGGAAGGAATAGGGGTGGAAGGAATAGGGAAGGAGCAAAAGGCGCGCGAGGGGGGGGGGGGCAGATAGACCAATAGTACACCTGCAAGAAAAGTGGTAGCTTCTCATAAGGAGGATAAGTCCAAAAGAACACGAACACTCAGACACACACGGTCAGTATTTATTTATCATTTCCGCATTCTTTCCTTCTGTCTTTCATCATCGATATTCTAAAAATTCTGGTCACTGCAAAAATCTTTACCCCAAGGACAAATCCACACCCTTAGATCTATCCAAAACCACCGACCGCCCGCTGAACTCGAAGCTACTGCGACGTTGGTCCCAGTTCCAATTATTCCACAAAACCGAGGTACCAATTATCCAGAAAGAAGGTTTATGGCAAACTCCTAGTCCACTCATTCGTTTTGAAGAACATCGTGTGTGACATGGCCAGAAGCGAGAACAGCTAGTGGGCAGCAGCGGCGGGCATGCGTCCAGAGTATCATCCTGATGTCCACTTAATTGAAGTGCTCCGGTTATCCGAATACATATTATTCTGGTCCCATTCCAAGCAGCTCATTGCCCGACCCTCTTGCGACTAATTGCTATACAACCTGTATGCAAAATGTAAAACCCCCTTTTTTTTGCGAATAAGATCGTCCCGTTTGTGGTTTGGTTTTCCAAATCAGTATTTAAGCGCCGTTTGAGATCAGTTCTATCCTTTTATGATTTCATTATGGTATTATTATTATT